AAAAAAAATAGAGATCCGTTAGTCTGTGTTGTAAGAAGTAAAAAGAAAAAAAAAATTCTGGCGCTTGTTCTTTCTGTCATAAACTCAGCAGAAATAAGATACAAGAAATACAAGTTTCCTTCTTGTGGTTTTTATACTCCTTTTTTTAAAAAATGACTTTATTCTTTTTTTAGTAAATTACCGTATTTTCCGGACTATAAGCCGTTCCAGAGTATAGTGCCCTCTGGTGGCAGTCGTTGTGAAAATAACAAGATGTAAATTTCCAGTGTTACAGAAGTAGCAGATACCGGTACACAAGCCTAGAGTGCCCTCTAGTGTGAAAATAACCAACATGTGAAATTATATATTTCAAAAATATAAGTCACACCCGAGTATAAGTCGCAAACCCAGCCAAAGGATGACGGAAAATACGGTAATATTAATAAATACGCTATTAATTTACAAAACTACTTTCAGAAGAGATACCTGTGTTCCAGCAAGTAGTATCCAGTAGTAGTAAAAGGATTAATCAATATTAGTGGCAGGTTTGATCCACTGTCTGACTGTGGTGTGTTTACCAAGCGACAAACATCCCTCGTGTGCCTCTTAAATCACTCGCTGCTCCACAGTGAAGGGATGTTCTCTGAAGATTACTCTGAAGATGCCATGTGGCGAGTGTCCCTTTGGACAAGGACTGTAAACGAAAGACAAAGCCAGTTGGACAAAAACAAAATACTGTGACAAAGTATTAGCTTTTGCGAACCACCCCATGCTAAATCTCTGCCATAATCGTAGCCTCCTGCAGTCCATGCAGTTAAGAATGATGACAGATTTTATTTTTGTGATTTTTTTTTTTAGTTGTCTTATTTTAACTTTGCTGGCCTTGAGACGGGCGTTTAGGTTGGTGGAAGATGCGGATTTTGGCGTCTTACTGCGCTGGAGTGGTGACCCTTTGTCCTTGGATCTTATTTTGTTACAACCTGGGAGCCCCATGATTTAAAGCCGAGTGGGGGTTTGAGGTCTGCTGCCAGGACTTTGTGCACATGTGTGAAGCATCCACGGAATCTAGAATCTGGCTCGCAGGAGGAAGAAAAAAAAAAAAAAAAAAAAAATCGAGTTTATTGCACTTTCATTCACAATCGCTTAACATGACCTCATTCTCAACCGCAGGAACATTACGCTTATTTACTTCAGAAGGTAACACATGTTGCGAAGACTTCTACTACAGTAGGATGACTTTTTTTCGCGCTTTTCCTTATTTGTCCCTGTAGGACCAGTATGACATCATCGAGAAGCACACACAGTCCGGCCTGGAGCTGGTGGAGAAGTATGTGAAGTTTGTCAAGGAGAGGACGGAGATTGAGCAAAACTACGCCAAACAGCTACGGTAGGTGTCACTTGAAGTACCGTGCTTCACTGATGTAAACGGCGAAACACTGCGAACTCTCTCTCTTTCTCTCTCTCTCTCTCTCACTTGCTTTTTTTTTTGTCATTTGTTGTGTATTTCCCTTCATCTCCCAGTTGTCTCTCCAGTCTGCGAGGCTCACATCTGGTGTGGCTCTGAGCTTCACTGGAGAGTAGAGGGGAGGAAATGGGAGAGAACACACGATAGACAGGAT